AATTGTTTGAGGTGGAATTGTTAGAACTATTTTAGAACTATTGCTTAGGTGGAGGTCGAATTGTTTGAACGGTTTCTGAAGGATTAGAATGACAGACTTTTATTTTGAACTTGAAAGGATTTCCTCGTGAAACCAAGTTATGCAATGGATAATTAATAGGTCCTCTTTCTAGTATGCATGGTAATTTCTTCACACAACATAGTGGTAATTCAAGATTCAGAAACATCCTCAGCAATTGCTGGTGCTGTTAAATAGTTCACATGATGGACAGGACGGACCATTTAACACAACACAATGCACAATATTAAATGCAAACATGTGATTGCACCATTTAACACAACACAATCCACTGCTACCTAGACTATTGATGATCATTACCAATGATAGATAGCATTATTCTTTGCAATTAGGACGTTGACGATGGTGTTGGTTATTAGAATGTAGGTGCTCGGGTTTTCATTTTTTCAAAGAGCTTTGAGTTTGAGTTGTCCGATTTTGCTGATGATGGTCTAGAACTTGAACTTGAACTTGAACTTGCGACACTGGCAGCAGCCATGAATTTGCATCATAACTTAGCAAAGATTCAGGCTGACGCCATGCCTGAACATTATAAAGCATAATTGGAGATAATTGATTTTCCACAAAATGCTTGTTGGAAGGTGACCCACAACGAAACTTGTTTATTTTGCACCTGGCTGGGTTCCAGGACCATGGGAACAAAAGTTGTACTTGTTTATTGAGGGCCCTACTGAGCAATCTGTCAAGAGGGCAAAAGTTGAACTTAAACGTGCCTTGGAGGAAATAACAATGCAAGCTTCATCACTTCCTAGTTCAGCGCAACCTGGCCGATATTCGGTTCTTTAATAGCAAGTCTTTCATTATTGGATGCTGATTAGTATCATTTGTTTTCTATATTGTACCGTAGTTTGGGCATATTATACCAATTTCATTAATTATGTGTTAGATATCTTACTTTCAAGATCCTTCGTGAGAATGAGATTGGTCATTTTGTTTCTTATAGACAGAAGCTCATTGGAATTTCTTTGTGCACATGATAATGTTACTACATTGTATATCTGGTGTCTGGAGGTAATTGAATACTCGGGTAATCTGCTGAAGTTATGATAATGATAATGTTACTACAATGTTGATTCCAGGAAAATTAGGTAAATAAAGATTGCTGCTAGGTTCATAATTTGCAAATGAAGTGCACACAACTGTCGTTCTCTCATCTTCTTGACCTGTGCTTGAACATTGTGACTGAACTCATTTTATATTTCCTTACCAGTGGAAAATTACAACTTCTTGGGAGGATTTAATATTGTACAACGTAGTACAATATTGGTCACTTATATTTATTTCCAATATATATCACTAGTTTTACTCTTAACGACGACAGTCCGCAAAATGGGGTATGGAATCCAGTTGTATGCCTGCAAGAGGTGCCTTGACTGACTCTTATTTGCTTGAGGATTAAATTCAGTCATAAAGTACTTATACAGTTTGTGATAATTTTATTTATGTTGTACTCCGTTGATTTATTTTGTATGTAGTTCAGTATCTGCTTATTTTATCATGACACGTAAATTTCTTACAATATCGATTGAACTGTTTCATCGAATGTAATTTAGGTTTCTTTTTAATATCTTGAAAAAAAAATTGATGTTTCACCAATTTCAAAATGTATATGTTATTTAATACTATATTAACATTAAACCATTATTATTTATTGAAAAATCAAATTTTCTTGAAT